GGTGGCGGAGGAGGGGCCCGAAGGTGATTGCTGCCCCAGGGCCCGACCAGGCTCTCGACGGCCCTGGTCAGATGTGAGTTATAGGGTGAAGGGGGATGAGATTTGAGTTGGTTTATAAGGTAAGATGGGATGAGTTTCGAGTTGATTTGTAATATGAAATGGGATGAGATTAGAATTGATTAGAGCCTTTATTAAGTATAGATGGGATTCTGTTGTTTTTACTTACAGTAAAGGTTAAACATTCGTATTGATTGTTGCTTCATATATATGGATCCTTTCGTACACAGCTGTTTTGATGACGAGAGATAATGTATTATCTGCTGCGATAATAACTAATAGAAATTTCCTTGAGCGAAGCTTTAAGAGTGAACTAATGTATCAAAGCTGACTATAACACATTTTCAGGCTGTTCTTTGTAAGCTGACAAACTAAGAAGTCTTTTCTTCAACTTATATACACACATAAGAGAGATAGACACCCAAGATTTAATTTCATAGCAGTTCGCTGATGATTTTATTTTAAGAATCGATCGTATGAACGAAACGAGAGGTATTGGGTTATTACTTTGGAACATATTATTCTTCACCGTTTAGTGTTTTAGCAGGCTATTGTCTGTATTCACTTGTATGAAAAGATATGCGATGTTAATTTGTACTTGTTAGTTTTTCATACAGGAAATAGTGCAGGAAACGGTTTGGGGGCAATCGTGGAAACCCCTCAAACTCTACTACATCTCTCTCTCTTTCTCTTCTGCAGGGATGATCGAAAGTCTGGTGCCAAGAAAGATGGTTCATTGATCCTGTAGTGCATTTTTTTCAATGTGTATTCAGCTTTTTTTTCTTTCTTTTTTAAAAGTAAATGTGAAACAACCCCGTGAGTTTTAACTAACCCATGGCTCATAATTTGTTTCGAATAAAATAAGAAAGAGTAAGTTTTAGTCAAAGAAAGTATATTTAATTTTTTAAACAGTGAAAATAATCATATTCGGTCAAGCATATTATTTTCTTTCGCTCTTTTGGACAAGCTGAAAATTCTCCTCTCTGATTTTGTGCAGGATGTTGAAACAATAAACCGTTTGGTGAACGTACGTGACTAGTCAAACGAGTTACAATTTTTTTTTGGGTGTATTTTAATATGGTTACTGTTGTAAAAGACCCAACTGGTTTCCTCAGTCATAATCAAAAGCGCATTTTTATTTTTGTTGAAAAAATGTTACAAAATATAGACACACCAGAAAATACAGCCAGTTTCATATTATACGATGGTTACTTTGTCAAACATCATTCTGTTTTATCATTGCCCTTTGTTTCTCCTCCATCCACTCCCCCTTTTTTTGCAAGTTGATTCCTCGCTTACTACATTTGTGCATTTCCGTTAAAAGTAGAAAAAAACCAATCCAGAAAAAGGCAAAAATTGAGGAGGAAAGAAAATTTGTGCAAAGTTAAGAGAGAAGGATCCGATTAAAACAGTTTTTTAACTTGCGGGGTTGAATGAATTAAGTTCTTGCTGACGGATCATTCAGTTTATGAACCATCTTTCTTGACCCAGAATTTGTGCCAAACCCTGCAAGTCTAAAAAACATGTTTTATCTTTGGATTCGTATAGTGGTAAAGGGACATAGCTTTGAAAATGTTAAAAACACAATACTATATTTAGGTTACCCCCCTTTGCTGGCAGCGTGAAATTGGCTGTATTTTCAATGAAAAAATAGTTCGAAGCACACCACTAAGCAAAACCCCCCCTCTCTCTCTCCATCTTCACCCAACTTCTGTGCACGTGCACTCTCTCTCTCTCTCTCTCT